TTATTGTTATGCCAAATCTGTATGTGCCTGCTGTTAAATAAAAAAAATTTCGCTGTTCGTTCATTCAATCAATAAGCTTGACTTTCAAGTTGACCTTAATTTAAAATTTTTTAATGGGCAACACTTTATACATTACTTGCATACTCTTCTGATGATAAGGTTGTGATGACCTTACGCCATGTCGTTTTTTATATTTAATGCAGGTATTTGACCGCTTTTGAAAAAGTACGCATTATCGCGCTGATGGAAAAGTAGGTACATACAATTGTACTTTTTCTATTCCTATTTTAATCGGAAAGCACACTCAGTGCAATAATCATATTTAAGGTACATTTGGAACGTAGCCAAATAACTCTTCAGATAATTCTTTCTTATTTTTACTTGTAGTTAATTGCACCAAACTGGTGCAGTTTATTACGGACCGCATCAAAGCTGGAACCGACGATAGGCAGCAAATATTTCATTTTAAATCGTCTGAGTGAAGAACTCAGAAGAAAGCAATCCATCCATCCTTTCTAAAACATGGTTTTATCTCGAACTTCTCGAAGAGACTACTTTCAGCGTCAATTTCTATAGCCACATTTTCTTAATGTTAATATGGCATCGATTAGTCGATTAACCGATTAGTCGATTAACAAGAGCACTAATACGAGGCCTTAGCTATATATGTATACATCTGTATGTACATACATACTAGACTCTACCAGAAAAGTGTATTTGTAAGACAATTTCGAAAAAAACCAAAAAAAAAAATATTTATTTGTATTTTTACATTTTCGTCATATCTTCGGCACTTATAGTCGGATTTTAAACTACGATATATTCAGCCTTAACACGAGTTTCATTTTCCCCGAACCGGTTCACTTTTCACTTTTGGTTTCCATGTATTTACTATGGGCGGAAGACAAATTTTCGGGCGAATTTTTTTTCGGGCGAAACTCAGGATAAGGCAGATTAATGTTCTTGTCTTGAAGAGACAATTTCTTTTCTTCCAAAGTTTATTGACCTCAAGTACCTTGTTCTAGTACTTACCCACCAAATCTCTGTTCTTATCTCTCTACTAATGCCAGAAAATTAAAGGGGCAATTCTGGCAACTATCTTGAAATCGCTTTTTTGTCTTTCGAAACAATTAATGAAAGATCTACTAATAAGGAGGGCATAGCGTTTTTCTGTTTAAATTAAATGAAATTAGAAACAAAGATATTTTCTTTTTAAGACTGACAATCAAAATGAAATTAAAAATATACAAATAAATAACTTAAAAAATTGTATGGATAAAATAAGTTTATAAAAATTATGTTTCTTCTTAAAACAATAAAGTCTAAATAATGAAAAAAATTAAGTTAAAGAAGAAAAAAAAAATAACTTAAAAAAATATTGGTTCCTAAAAATTTAAAATTTAAATGAAGTTAAAAAAATATTTTTCTTGTAAAAACAGGTTCTAAAAATTTAAAGAAAATGAAATTAAAAAATTAGATGAAAAATTAGTTTCTTAAAAATAAATTAAACTAAAAAATGATATTTTTATTTTTATAACAATCAAATCTAAGAAATAAATGAAATAAAGAAAAAGAAAATAAAATGTTTCTAAAAATTAAATAAAAATAAAAAATATATATATATTTTTTCTTTTTGAAACAATAAAATCATTAGCGCGAATTGCCTAGTAAATTTCAGGAAAAAAAACATATAATTTTTACTAAGGAAGTATTTCGACTATAAAAAAAAAAAAATCATTGCCGAATGTGCGTCCCATCAAAAGATTTAAAAATCTACCCCTGGGATCTGCCAAACAAAAACTTTCGAAATTGCCTTGCAAAAAAATACTTCAACTGAGGGATGTACGTCGAACTTATTTTGTTTGCTTGTAAGGTGGTAAGACCAAATAGGTTTATTTTTCAAAAGTCTGAGTAATGTTAAAGAATTATTCATTACATACAAGCTTTGAAATGTAGACAACTCCACAAAGTGCAACCCCAATTTGTTTTATTTTAAAATTTCCAACATAAACCTTTTACATAAACGTTGGTAATTCCTCATTATCTTATCCACTCTAAATTGAAAAAAAAAATGGATTACTACACTTCTAAGCTACATACCTACT